CCGAAGAAAAGCGCTGCGACGCCTTTTAAGGCGGGGGTGAGGGGGGTTGAGTGCCAATGGGAAGAGAGGTGCGCTGTCCAGGCCGCCACGTGACGCCCTGTTTTGGACTGTTGGCAATTTGCGTCATTGGGAATGGGGGGGGGGGGTGGCCGGTTTATGTGAGGAGCCGGTGCGCAGCGCATTCCAGCGATGATGCGTGTTGGCGTGCCCAAAATGCAATGAGGTGTCGCTAGTTCGGCGCAGGGAGGCGCTGCATTTCGCCGCCGCATCACTGCACGAAGGAGAGGCCTATTACCAGAGATTAGGTCTGCTTGTCTCCATTGCCGATGCGCAGACGCATTTTGTTAATCGCATCGTTCGGCTTGAGTTTGATTTTCTGCGTGTTTGCTGAGTTTCATCACATAATATGTGGCTGTGAGGTTTATTATTATTACTATTTTTTTTGTTTGCATGTGTTGGTATGGCTTAAAAAAAAAGAGTTGGTTTCTGTCTTCTTTTGCTCCTCTCACGGACTTAGAGGGTTAAGAAGCCATACGTGGACAAAAGTGTTTAGTGTTATTATTATTGCTATTATTATTATTTGTGGCGTTGGTGTTGATCCTGGAGCACCTGTACCGAGAGGATGACGCACCATCTATTCATGCAGCTGCTGGTGCTCCTGGCCATTGGGACCCTCCACTGCTGGACGGGGGTAGTGGCTGTCGGCGAAGGGATGGGGACGCCCTGGGGAAAATCCCGCGCACACTGGCATGAGGAGAAAAGTGAATTTGACATGACCACTGAGGAAACGTCTCTCAGCGGAACGGCTGTGAAGAGGCCTCTACGTTGGTCGGAGTTCCTCATTGGCGAGGGGAACATAACATTTCAGGGAAATGCGCGATGTGGGGGCGGATATTGTCCCGCTGAGGCCCCTATATGCTGTGGAGAGGCCTCACACTTTTTCTGTGTGCCTGGTGGGACTAAATGTTGTTTTGCACCTAATGGGAATGTGGCGGCATGTGAACAGAGTGCTGAGTGCTGTATTGCCGGAAAAAATACGACGTGTTGTATGCAAGGTACAACGTGTGGCATAGATGTGAACGGGTCAAGATGTGTTAGTAACGCTTGCACCGCGTATCAAACCTCGGATGATTGTCTTCAGAAGGCGACGGGGTGCGCATGGTGCTGCGCGGAGCGGCGCTGTATTAGTAAAAGTCAGAAATGCTCTACGGGAGATAGCGCTATTGAGCGGGGCGAAACGTGTTCCTCTCCGTGCCAGTACGCCGACACGTGTGCTCTCTGCCTCTCATACAACATTTCAAATAGTGGGTCGGACGCTTGTTCGTGGTGTTGCGCGACGCAGTCATGTATCCCCCTCAGCAGAGCTATTGAGTGCGGTAACGATCAACAAGTCCAAAGTTTGGGCCTATGTTCCGCTTGTCAGGCTAATGGAGCTGGAATAAACCCTGAGTTTGTGGGAACGGTTTCACAGTTCTTTGGGCTGATATCCGGTATTGTCCTCATCGTGGGTATTATGTCGTGTATTGGGGTCTCCCGGGCCTTTATCTACTTTCGTGGTGGTATGCTGACGAACAACGGAATGAGTGTGGCTGACGTCGATGCTCAAATGGCAGTCCGGCGCCATGGGTTTGGCTCCAGTGAAGCTTCCCCCATGCAAGAAAGTGTGAAGGGCAGTTTAAGCCGTTTTTTTGGCACAGTATTGTCGATGTTCAGGTCTAAGGCCAAGACAGAAAATCCCACTGAGGCGGCACAGGTATCAACTTCTTTGGTCAGTGTGTTGTTCTGCAGCGCGTGCCACCGCATTCAACATGTACGCATACTTGCTTCCGCTGCCAACGCCATAAAAGGTAACAAAGGGGTTCAGGGGGGAACCGGGAGCACCCCACACGATGACGCCCATCCAGTGGATGACGACATTGTCATTTTGTTGCCGTGTTGTCATGCATTTTGTCGTCCATGCGTTGGATTGATCCCCTCAACGAAGCCTGCAGCGGCGCGACCCAGTGAATGCGCCATAGAGACCCAATCAAACGGCACTGACACCGTACGGGCAGAGTACATTCGCCTGCATCCTTCGAGAGAAGAGGGTATGATTGACTTTCAGGAACGAGAGCCGTCTGCTCCGGACACGCGACAAGCTTCGTGTGAAGAGCAGCAAGTATTGCTCTCTCCTTTGGGGAGAAGAGAAGGAAATGGGGGCGACACCATGACGTCAACTGCCTCCCCCACAACGGGGCAATCACAGCATCGAACGCGGAGTTGGAGAGAAGGGTTGCTGCGTTCATGGCGAAGTCTTAGTATTTGGCGGGTGCGCAGTGCGTCACGGGAAGAGAAATTGATGGAGAATGCAGTGCTAAAGAACATAAGGCGCAAGTGCCCCAAATGCAGAAAAGAGGTAAAGGACGTGTTTCTCCCCGAAAATATTCTTAAGTTGTAGTTTTCTTTCTGATATAGGGAAATGGGGCCTTCATGGCAATATAGACGCGTAACTGCGTGGAGAAATTCCAAGTAACCTTTACTGCGCCGTATTGCTATTAACAAGGACAAGGCAATTGCCGTACATAAACAAATGCACACTGATCTGTATTTCAGTCTCTGCGTGCGTGTTGGTGTGGCAATAAAATATGTTTTTTTTTTTTCTCTTTCTGTGTGTGTTGTAGAAAACTTCCGTTCGCACCGTTGTTTTGTTTTTCGATCTCGTTTACTGCGATGGCGCGACGCAAATGAACTGTCCTGTACTTCTTGGACATTCAATGTATATCCTCAATTATGAGGCTTTTTGTTTTATATCTATTTTACCTGACTGCTGGCGTTTGACTGAGTCTTCTCTCCCCATTACCTTTTTCAGTTCCCTTCCTACTTGTATTTGTTACTGCATCTACGTCTGTCGGCATCACCACGGCGACGTTTTACTTTCTTTCCTCAATGTTTTGCGCTGATGCTGTTTCTTCTCTTGCTAGATTACATGCTGAGATCTGCCTTATTTCCCCCACATTTTTTTTCTATTTCTCTCCATCCCTTTTCTGTGGCTTCTGCTACAACCCAGAGCAAGGGGGAAAAAAAAAGAGTGAGGCTTTTAGGCGGGTGGGCCATTTTGGTTGTTGTGTTTTTGGGACACGGTGCAGGCAAGGGAAGGTCTGACCCCATCGGTTTCCCGGCGCACTCCTTTCCGTTGTGCTTCTGAAGCGACTGTAGCGCTGGCGTGGAAATTGTTTTTTTTTTACCCGGGTTTCGTTTTTGTGGTAGTTTTCGCTTCTGCGTCTGGACATGCGTCCGTTATGGCTGGGTCGCTCCATCTCCACCTGGCTTCGCGAGGCCCCGTGGATGAGTAACGTTTGCATCGGGACGACAATTGGATTTACTGCCGATGTCTTGACGCAGATTGTGGTCAGGAAGCCATCTTCGCCGCGGGACCGTGCTCAGGCGCAGGGTAGTTCGCGGTTGGTGGTAAGGTGTCCCACTTTTATTCACAGATTGGTGGCTCGCGCTAGGGTTGAGAAGGATACTCCAGTCCCCCTGATTGACCTTCGGCGTAGTTTTATCTTTTGTAGTTTTACCGTCGTGTTTAATACGTTTTTCTTTCTCTCGTTGTACCGGAGGCTGGATGCTCTTTATCCACCGGCCAGTGTAACCCGATCTCAGGCAGTTGTGAAGGGGTTCCTAAGTTGGGTAGCAGCCAACGCGACAACGCCTTTATATTTCTCGTATGTCGCGACATTGAGCCATTATTTTATTTACCACACGGGTCGTCACCGTCTTTGCGCATCTGAGGGAGATTACTTTGGGCGCTCAGTGGAGTTCCCAGTTTTTCGGGAAGGGGTGAGGCGGCAGATACACCGGCAGCTGAGTGAAGACTGGCCTGATACGATCAAATACGGCCTTATCTTTTGGGGCGCAAACTGGCTGCCAATGTTCTACTATATTCCTCCTCACTTTCGTTATGTCTACAGTTCCTGCTTACAGGTGGCGTGGAGTGCCATTATGTCTCACGTGATGCATCGTCAAGTGGGTAGAAGCCAAGCTGGACGCGAACTAAAAAGTGTAGAAGCATAAATTGTAATCGAATAAAAAAAAGCCAGTGATGAACTGGAAAGGCGTGTGTAACTTGGGTGAGGGGACTAGGCAAGCGAAAGAAAAACAACAGCATGAGTAGGTGCTACCGCCAAAATAAATGCATGTTTCCTCCTTTTTGTCATGAAATTTGGTCATCAACTATAATTCGCAGGGTGAAGAAGAAAGGAAACTTTAAGTAGGTAAAAAAAGGGGGAAAAAATAAGGTTCACGCCTTTTCTAAAGTCTGCACCTGTTCACATGAAGCGCACATCCTTAAGGGTGTTGCATGTAACAGCGGGGCTGATGCAGGGATGGGGCAAGGGATCCTCCTCCGGTGGAGGTTGGGGTGACGATGGCGGCGCAGCTGGTGGCGGTTGGGGCTCGGATGCTCCTGCAAGTGGTGGAGGTGGGGGTGGATGGGGCGCTGATGGTGGCCGTAGTGGTGGGAGAGGAAGAGGTGGCGGTGGCTGGGGCGGATCTGGCGGTGGCGGCGGTGGCTGGGGCGGATCTGGCGGCGGCGGCGGCGGTTGGGGCGGATCTGGCGGCGGCGGCGGTGGCTGGGGCGGATCTGGCGGCGGCGGCGGTGGCTGGGGCGGATCTGGCGGCGGCGGCGGCGGTCGCGGCCGCGCCTTGGGCAGCGCATGGAACGAGGGCGACGCTGGATGGCGTGGTGCTTCAACAGGTGCACGTGTAAATCGCGGTCGTGGCAACTTCCGTCGCGGACGCGGCGGTGCCATGGATGGAGTGTGGGGGCAGCCGAGCGCGGTAGACGAGGAGGCATGGTCCGCTGCCCCGCCCAGCTTCAACCCGCCTGTGCGGCGCGTGGACCCCCTTACCCTTACAGCTGTGGAAGTCGAGATTGATGGAATCAAGAAGCTGGTAGGCCAGCGTGTTCAGGTTTCTGGGCTCTCCGACGAAACGACGTGGCACACACTGAAGGATCACTTACGCCAGGCGGGTGAGGTGACGTTCTGCAAGGTATTTTCAGGCGGGAGAGCGGTGGTCGAGTTTGTCACCCCAGAGGATGCTTCCCGCGCCATTACAGAGCTGCAGGCCTCGGAGTTAGAGGGGGCAACTATCTTTCTTCGGGAAGACAGGGAGGATACCGTTCTTGTAAATACGCGAAAAAAAATACGTGAGGCTCGAGATGCGCAGCTTCGTGCGCGGAAGGAGGAGGCGGAGCAGCGGCGGCGCGAACAGGCTGTCGCGGAGGGCGATCTTCCCTCATCCACGCCTGCCCCCGCGCCGGGGGCGGCGACCGCCAATCCGCCGGCCTAATTGCTGAGGTTGAGAAGAGCGCGGCGTAGTATGGGTGTCGTGAAGAAGGGACGGAAGAGCTGAGGGATGGAAGGAGACAGAGAAGCAAACGAAATCAAAAAAAAGCGGAAAAAGAAAGTGCATGCCGTTTGAGAAAGGGGAAACGGCTGGGCCGCCAGCACTCCCCCACGCACAGAACGTGAGAGGACACATGAAGCTCATCTTAAGGGCACTTCAAATTACCGGTAATTCACCTTGATAAAGTGCACAGTTGCGTATATAAAACAGGAGCAAAATGCTCACAAGAAAGAGGCCTATGAAGAGGGAGGCGGGGGTGGAAGGCGTGAACGAGAGAAAAAGAGGCGGCAACGCCAAGAGAACAAAATGTGGATGAGAGTGGAGAGGAAAAGTGGGAGAACATGAGTTATGAAACTTCCCCTGGTGTGCGAGGAGACCTCCCCTGACGTAAGTGGAAGCAATGCGGGTTGTTCATGTTTTGTTGATTTCCCCTCTTCCTCCTGCTCCTCCTCCTCTCCCTTTTTTTTTTGGGGGGTGGGGTGGGTTTCTATTTTATAGGATCAATTCCGCTGTTTGTGCCGGCATATACGCTATATATAGATCTATGTCGGACCTAATGGCGAGTTCAATGATGACACGTGTCAAAATGTCGCTGGCTGACGTGCCTGTAAGGCGTCTCATCGTTTGCCTTGGCTGTGGTGACTATGAGGCAAATGAGGCGCGTGGGGCGCTAGGCAACCGTGTAGCGCAACAGATCCTTGGCACATGTGCCCCCGCTCCAAGCGACATACACAACCCTGACAAAAACCGCCTGCATGCCCGTGATGCTCTTGGGCGGGCTCGCCAGAAGCAATGCTCCCGTAGAGGCGAATTTTTTTTCAAGGGCGCTGCCGGCAACGGAGCTCTTCGGATTCGTGGTGGCATGCGGAGTCCACAGTCATGGGATTCGGAGCGTGTGGTAGACTATATGGGGATATGGTGCGATAGGCTCCTGTTAGGGGAGCACACCAACCCGACTCGTTGCGCTTTGCTAGAACCACAGGTGCCATTTCTCATGTTTGGAGAGTCGCTGGAGCGAGTCCTCCTAGCACATCGGAAATTTACGGCTGTGGATCTTCTGTTTGTCTTTTCTAGTTCCTGCGTTCCTTTCGGTGTGTTGCGTCTCGCTCCTTTCACTGACGCTTTGCTGACCCTTCCCAGCGGTGGCCCCGCAGCCTATCCACATAACTCCATTGGCACGGTGTTGAGCCGATTGACCTCGTCGCCCGAGAAGGCGTCGGCGATTGTGATTGGGGTCGGTGGCGCCCATGGCCTCCTGACCGCCCTGACAGCGGAGGAGAGAGCGGAGTGCGACACCCGCATAGTGCCACTTGCCAGCTTCGCCACCGCACTGTGGACGGTGAACCCGGCGAAGGCAACGGAGTTTCTTCAGAGCAACCCCAAGGACAATGCGAGGTTGTGGCGCACGATGCAGTCTTCTATGCTGTCCACGCGGGACACGGCCGTGCTACGCGCCTACGAGGGCGGCCGGCCACTGGATGCGCGGATGAGCCGGCAGCAGACCACTTACCTGGCAGAGACTTTATTGTCACGCCTCTTTCCTCACGGTGACGAGCACTGAGCTGAGTCGTTGCCTCTGCACTGAGACACCACACATATCTGTCTTAAATTTGCGCAATTTGCTAGCTACTCTTGCTGCTTTACATGCACACGCACACACACACACACGCACACACACACACATTCACTCGCCTTCTCAGAACCAAAGAGTTGTGTGTGTGAGAGAGAGAAAGATAAAGAGAAAGACCAGCACAATGAATACGAAACCGAGATGAAGCAAACAGCGAATTGATTTAAATGCAAACAAATTACACTCTCTCTTTGCTGCTATTCTTAATTATTTTTTTGTCCTCCTCGGTGGCAAAAGCGGTGTCAAATTTAAGCTTATTTACAACTCAGCAAACACTATACAAAATGCACACCCTAAAGCTTTTCAAGAGTAAGGTGTGCCCCTACTGCCAGCGCGTGGCAATCGCTGCGATGGAGAAAAAAGTCAAGCTGGAGGAAGTGGAGGTTCCTCACGGTGAGGACATGCCGCAGTGGTACAAGGAGTTGAACCCACGGGAGACGGTCCCAACGCTGCAGTTGGATGGAAAAAGATGCGTGTTTGAGTCCGATCTCATTGCACAGTACATTGACGGCATTTCCTCTCCCGCACGGTCGCTTATGGGGTCCACTACCTACCAACGGCACCGCGTGGAGTTCTTCCTGAGCCAGGTCGGTGATCTTATCAGGGCGTATTTCACTCTCCTGAGAGACCCCTTCAATGCGGAGAAGCGAAAGTCAGTGGATGAAAATACCAAGTATATTGAAGGCATCTTTTCGGAGAACCAGGGAAAGGGGCCATATTTCCTTGATGAAGCTATTTCCATGGCGGATATTATCTTGATTCCATTCCTCGTCTGCTTCAAACCGGTGCTAAGTTACTTTTCTGGCTACGACATCTTTCAAAAGGCTCCACGTATAAAGGAAATGTATGTGGCGGCTTTGCAACGACCATCTGTGAAGGAGACAAGCCCAAAACCGGAAGAGATAATTACTTACTTTAAGAGTAAGGTTCCAAAATCGCACGTCACTTATGAATTGGCCCCAGGTTATGTATTGTTTTCTAATAAAATTTGTCCCTTTGCGGACCGCGCCCGTTTGGCATGTGCCCTAAAGAATGTTGAGTTGCCTACTTTTGAAGTTGATTTGAAGGATATGCCCCCATGGTACCCATGGATTAACTACCGTGAAACTGTGCCAACGCTGCTTACACCGCAGGGCACCTACGTTCATGAGTCTCAACTTGTTGTCCATTATATTGATGAAGAGTTCGCACATTATGAGCCCACACTTCTTCCCAAGGATGCTGAAGAAGCATACTTTGTCAGGTACGTGGAATCTAATGTGGGCTACTTCGTTGGCGCAATGTTTTCTCTCTTGCGGGATCCAAAGGACAAGGAGGCGAAAGAAGAGCTTGAATGGGCGGCTGGGGAGCTCGAAAAATCGCTGGCGGAGCATCGTTTTGGGTTGGGTCCCTTCTTTGGTGGGGCCACCATGAACGCTGCCGACGTCTCCCTTCTGCCCATGCTGGTGCGTGTGAAGGCCTGCACGCCGGCTATGACAGACGGCTATGACTTGTTCGCAAAGTTCCAACTCTTGTCTATCAACTTGGAGGCGGGTCTGAAGACGATCGCCGGCAAGCAGGTCTTTTTGCCGCTCCCGGAATACTTGAAGGCATTCCAGGCTAAGTTTGCCCGTTCTTCGTGAGGCAAACGTGGGTAGTGGTATTTCTGCGCGCCATCAATACTGATGGCAGCCAGAGACTGGACTCCGTGCTGCACCTTCTTTTTTTTTTCTTTTTCTGCTCTAACTTTTTCCCCTCATCACTGAACTATTGTTATGCGACGAAGTTACGAGACTGCGAAGGTCCGTGGTAGAAAAAAAGGAAACAAGCAAGCCGCATGTGAAAAACGAAAAGCACTTTGGGAAACGCAAAAAAAAATGCAAAGAAACTAACAGAAATAACAGAAAACATCATAAGCACAAAATAGGTGGACGACATGGGTGAAATTCGGAGTGAATACCCAAGGAATATATGCTTTTCTGAGAGTGGGCCCCCATAAGGAAGGCAATAATAAATCGGGATGGGGGGTGAAGAAAGGGATTTATCGTACGAGATCGAGCGGGAGAGCTGTGTGTGTTGCTTGGGCAAGGAAACGCGTTTGATTACAAGAAAATATGAAAGTGGTAATAAGCATGTGTCTTGTTTTTTCGTAGTCATTTTTTTCTTTTCCTTTTATCTTTGTTGTTTTGTCTTTAACGTTGCTTTTCATGGTTTTTGTAGTACTCTTGCTGTGATTGCCCGTGGTTGGTGTGCCCTAATCTTTGCTTGCTTCTCTTTGCTCGGGGGCGGGGTAGATGGATGGATGCTGCGGCGAGGTTTCCGTCGCAGACTCCCTTCTCGAGGCGTTTGCCGTTGCGCTGCTCGCTCAACCTGTGCGGGATGGCTGGCACCGCAATGTCATCAGTGCTTTTAACGGCGGAGGGACTGTTATCGCAGGCGTTGTACTGCAGCTACCACCGTCATCCATCGATGGCACGGAGACAAACAGATTTATGTGCGTGTCACTGGGCAGTGGCACAAGATGCGTCGGATACGAGCCTCCTTTGCACTCCGCCGAGGTGGATCCGTTTCTTCGGGACGGCCACGCAGAGGTAATGGCGCGACGTGGTTTTGTCGCCTTTTTATTGGACGCGGCGGTGTACCTTGCGCAATCGGAAACCAGAAAACACCCCGTTGTTGCGCGTTGTCACTTTGTCCGCATGAAGCCAGAAGGAGCTAGCGGGGAGGCGGCGCCGTGGCGGTGCTTCCGCCTACGTGAAGGTGTCACAGTCCATCTGGTATGCACGGAATGCCCTTGTGGGGCGATGTCCGTTCCGGGCGGTGGGGGCCACGTTCTTCTCGCTACTCCTAGCGGTCAATCGCTATTGCCATGCGCTGACGTCGATGCGGCCCCAAAGGAGGAGGGCGTCTCCTCCTCCTCCCGCGATGCGAGTAAGAGTGCCAGTGCGCGGGTTATAGTGTCTTGTGGTCATGTTGTGGCCGCCCACCGCAGCCATCCCGCCGATGCGATGTTGTGCGTGGGACGTGTGAAGCCTGGTAAGGGCCGCCAAAACCTTTGTATGTCGTGTTCTGACAAGCTGCTTAGGTGGCACTGTTTGGGTATCCAGGGCAGACGACGAGCGCGACTATTTCCAACGCCTGTGCGTCTCACAAGTATATTGCTGCCGCAGACGCCTGTTGTTGCTACTCCTGATGCCGCTGCCGACACGGATAGTGCTGCATCCAGGTCATTTTCGCTGGAGGCCGCACGGAGTGCTCTGAATGATCGTATCTGCTGTTTCCATCCGATGGCGCTTTTAGACAAGGGAAGAGAAATTCCAAAAGAGGTCTCTCGGCTGCTTCATGACGCGCCCGTTCCCCCTCCCGTTAGTTTTCATGGGTTCGCACCGTCATTGCTTCTGTCGCTCCTCAGCAAAGGTGCCATCTCTGCGGATGCACGGGAGAGCGAGGATTGCGGTGGGGAAGACGACAGTGGGAGAGGTGATTCTGGTTGGTCGCGGAGCGCGTGGCTCAAGATGGTCATTGGAGAGAGGAGTGACTCCTGTCAAGTTGCAGGAAGAAAGAGGCAACGAGAAGCCAACGCGTCGGAAAGGAACGGTGATACGCTTGGTTGGACGAAAGCTGGTGTCGCCGTGTTAAACACAAAGGCGGGTCTGCCCCGCGGTATCACAAGGCAGGTTGCGGGGCACACTGTCCATCAGTTAATAAAACTACAGTCCGCGCTGTTAGCAGGAGATGAAGCCCCTAGTTACACAATGAAAGAAGCAGCACTAGAGGTTATTGCGGAACGGTTTCCACTTTCACGGCTATGGATGGCGCTGCAACAACAGAGAGCCCTGCGCTACTTCAAACAGCATCAAAACGGCCCTTCTCTGGAGTCTCCTTCCTTTGTGGCAAAGGATGATGGTCAGAAGCATGACTGTGATATGGCCATAAGTTCGTTTTTCTTGCCGGTAGTCCTTTTTCCTGCTGGGCGCACGGAGGATCAGGAGTTCGTTGTTGCAGGAGGCTCTGTGCACTATTGGCTGCAGCGAGCGCGCCAATGCAGGAAAGCCATGACGCGTGGATTGAGCAGCGAAGAGGATAGGTCGGCGTGCATCCCGCTTTTATGGGTGGAGAAGGGAGCTTCTGTCTAAAGGAAGAATGCGTATATATATTTGTACCCCTCACACATACGCCCTGTTCCTCTTTTTTGCTGTGTGAGCTTGTGAAGTTAGAGCAGATTGCCGTAGACGCGCGGGTTGTGTGTTCCGGTGTGCTGGATATGTCTCTGTTGTCCCCGCCCTTGCGTCTTCCTCACCTATACTTCTTTTTTTACCCACCTTTCTTTTTCCATTGGAACGCGCTGGTACCACCAAGATACTCGTTCCGTTCCTCAAAGCCAACAACCAAAGAAAAAATAGGTGACAACATTGTCTTCTACAAGATAACAGGAAATCACATCAACTGGAGCTAAACGCGGAAGCCGAGCGACCGGTAAGGGCAAGTAACCTTCACCCAGTTTTACTATGCTTTCTGGGATTTCACCTGGAGCCTCCAGTCCACTTGACCTGTGTATTTGGGCTCCAGTGATGCCAGGGACGAAGGTGCCGACGTCGCAGAAAACCCAAGATGAATTTTCTGCGTCGCCGTGCCTCGGGCTCACCGTCAGTGGCGTGTCCGAGTTGACTTTATCCTCCTCGTTCTATGGGGCGACCCAGCCAAGTAGTCCACTCCTACTGAACGCCGAGGCGAACGACAGCGGCAGTGTCAAGGCGGGCGAAAAGAGTCATTCTCTAAAGCACGGCGGCGGTGGTGGTGGCGTCTGCAACACACCATCCGATACTTCTTTCATTGAGGCGCTGGGGCAGCCGGCATCGGGGCCCCCACGCCCAGAGGAGGCGGTGCAGCTTTCTCCCCATGATGTTGTAAGGTGTGCGGAACATCACAAGGAAAGAACTGTGCAAAACATGCTGCGCGTCGTGAATAGAGCAGGTGAACGTGTCTGGGTGTGTCGTCCCGATGTGGCATGCAGGATGCGGAAGTGTGGTCGCGCTCTCTGCCGTGGTGCACGTTTTAAGGAGCCGTGTCCAAATGCGTTCCCTAACATGACCTCAATTCCCGGCGCCACTGTCACCACAATGCAGGCTCCGCGTCTTGTATTTGCAACACCACACATTGACGATCATACCGCGGCTTCAAGCGGGGTAACGCGGTGCCGTATTGGAGACTGCGGGGCCTTTGTCGCAACACCGCTTGCCCTTACTGCCTCGCCCGCCCTTACTCAACTCCAGTTCCTGCGGCGTACGGTGCATGGTGACCCCATGTTTTGGGTTCCCGTTTCACCGCTGCCACCAGCATTTTACCATGCGGCTCCTTGGGTAGGAGGAGTTGGAGGAGCACCTTGCGCTGGTGCCCCCCCGCAGTTCCCGGTGCCCCCCAATTTCACGTGGGTTTCCTCACCGGTTTCACGCTGACGAGGCCATAAACGGGGCAGCATGACGGAAAGAGCAGCATCAAGGCAGGGAATAGTCCCGCGATAAAGGGAGGGGCAAGCAGCAGGAGCCAAAGCCGCGCAGGTATTAAATGAAGAAGATGGGGAGGAGTAGGTGACGAACACGCAGTGAAATGACTTTGGGTGCCAACACTGCGTACAGAGCACGTGCTGGAGCGAGGAGGTGCGTCAAGGAAGAAAAGTAAGGAAAACGAAATAAAACGGGGAAGGAAAAAGGGAGTGGGAGGAGGGGGAAACGTTGGTGACGATTTGGACCTGAGGGATTAAAAAACAACAACGACTTAAAAACCTAAAAAAAAACAAGGCGAAACAAGTAAAAAGAGCAAAGGCGAAACAGCAGCTCCTACAAGAAGACGACGGAGGTCTCAGGTTCCTCTGGAGAGAGAGGAAAAAAAAAGACTATGTGCTCGTTGCCGATGGTACCGGGAAGAAGCACGAGGTTGGTGGAGGAGAGAAAGAAATTCAGAACCAAACACGCTGCAGGCGGGGTCAAGTGCCTTACCTTCTCCTCTTTTCCATTCCCCGTTTTTTTTTTTTTGTGGAACTTGCCCACCTCGTGCCTTCATATCTGGCTCTTTATTGTTATTTTTTCAGTTTTTCCCCATCTTCCCACTCTCACACACACTCGCTCTTTTTTTTAAAAGCTCTTGAACACCCGAAGTGTGCAGCTCGTTTAGACGGCATTGTTGTTTTGGTTTCCCCCCCCCCTCCCTCTTTTTCTGGCCGTGGTGTCTTGTTCCTCTCTCCCCTGTTGTTACTTCTCTTGCCGTGAGCGTAGCCCACCGGAGTCAACTATTTTTATTTGTATTTTATTTTTATTTTATTTGTTTTATTTTATTTTTTATTTTTACAAAACGTGTGCCTATGCGCTACTTTTTATTTTATCGTATTGGGGTCCTCTGCTGTTCTTGCGGCGCCGCTGGGTTGACGGCTTCGTCGCTCGCCCTACGCTCCCGTGCTGCTTGCACGACGGGGGCGCGCGGGGTGAGAGCTCCTTCTTCTCTCTCCCTCCTCCCTCCGTCCCCCCCCCCCCCGCCCCTCTTCATCCTGTTTCATCAGCATCATGGGCACCACAGTCTTACCAAGGCAAAGGTGTCAAGACGATGCTAAGAGAAATAAACATAGCAAACAAAAGCGACAAAGAAACAAAATAAAACGGAAGTGGGCGAAAAAAGCGACGGAGGGAAAGCGACGGCCCGGTGCGGGAGAAGGCGCGGTGGAAAACGAATAAACGCAAAAAAAAAAGAGAGAAAATGACTGGATAGGGATGATAGAGGAAGAGTGGGGTTGTGGTGGTGTTCCACTCTCCCCATGCCCAATTGTTCTTTTTTTTTTATTCCCCTTTTGTGTGTAGGTATGTTCCATTTGTTTTTTTTTACCTCTCTGTGTGTTTTTTTTACTTATTTTTTTTATCAGATTTGTTCTCTCCCCGTTTTTTTCCGCCCAACATTTTTTTTTTTTCATTGGTTTTGAGAGCTTGCGAGAGGAATGGTCTGGTTTTATATATCTCTGGCAGAAAGACATCTTACCGCCCCTTTCCACATTGATCACCACTTATTCTGTCGCAACTTGTGCGCTTTGAAAAGCCGCCCGACCCAATCTGACCCTCGCCCGCTCCGCGGGCGAGTCGGGGTTAGGGAGGCGCTTTTATTGACTCATTTGTGTCATTATCTGATGATCCTTTGGATAATGAGGGGCCTTCTCCGCCGTTATCGCTGGTGGGTATTGCATGCATAAACCGACGCTGATAAGGGCAACACGAAGAACAATAAATTACGTTTTCTTTCCCCTTTTTTCTATTAGGGAACGGCTAGACCTTGACTACAATGGTGGGTTAACCGTTATTCTTTTCCTTTCCCTGCATATGTTGTGTGTTGGTTTGTTTGCTGCTCCCTCTTACTTGCTGAATACGGCAAGTATTTAGGTTGATTTTTTATCCCCCTTTTTTTTTTGCCGCCAAAGTCGTTCTGGACAGAAACGGGGGCATGTGTGTTATTAGCGGTACAACCTCGCGGAAGTCCATCACTCTCCCCCTTTTTGTATGCCCCTTCCACCACGCCGCTTGTTTATTTCTCATAGTACTTTTGACCCGCGCAGTACCGCAACCACCGCATCTGGAGACCTTGCGGTGGGTGCAGGAGGAAAGAAAGAACAGACAAATTTACTGGTTTATTTTTTATTTTCATCTGTTTTCTCACGATCTATATCTTTTTTTTTTGTTTGTGTTGAACGTTTACGTGCGTGTTGCTCGTGCTTTGTCGCGCAGCTCTTTCCCCATCTCACTCTCTTTTGCTTACCCGTGTTTCAATACGTTTTATTTTTGTTTTATGACGGGACAGTTTTTTTTTTTTGCTTTTTAATTACACATGCGTTGTTGTTGTTGTTTTGTCTCACCCCCTTTCTTGTCGCTGTTGCTGTGGGCAATTCATCTCCTCTCCCCCGTGAGGCACTGGATGGCCGTAGCAGGCAGGAAGGCAACGGGGACAACCAGGGTGAAATGCACAGGCGGTAACGCGACGAATTCAGGGCGTAGCTAACGGCGATATGATATATATATATATATACAAACATGTATTTTTTTTATGCCGCGAGCGTGCGGGGAAAGTGGCGGAAAGAAAAAAAGGAAATGTAAAGGAATAAAACAACAACAAAAGAAAGCTGCGGCCAGATTCCTAGTGTCGGCTGCATGGGCAGTGTAATGCAGTGACGGATGAAAGCCTCTGGATGTGGTCCGCGACTGGATGGTAATAAATGAATGAGGAAGTGCTGTGTTCAACTCCCCCGTTTTTTTTTTTCTTCATTGGGTGATTGGTTATTTTTTTCTTCTCAATGAAACCGCTTGGAAGGCCGACAACTACGCGGCTCTTTTTGTTTTCTGTCCCCCCCCCCCAACCCCACCACTACTACCACTAGTATTACTACCACCTTCCACGCGGAATTTTCCGGCGGTTGCGCGGCCCTAAAGAATGCCGCTTCGTGGGCTCAAGGCGAGCCCGGTTATACTAAAGAGTGTTTTGAATTCATTTTTTTGTATCGCTTCTGAGGGTGTGGGTGTGTCGGAGACATCACCCCTGAAGTGGAGGGTGCGCTGGACGCACACTGGGTCAAACTGTGGTCCCTCTTTTCTTCACTTCTCAGCTTTTTTTTCTCGTCATTCATTTGCCTTCCGTCCCCGGGTGGGAGGCAGTTGGTGGGTCTGCACACCGACGCCCAAGATGACTTTTTCCTCGTCGCCGCTGCAGCGCCGCGTGGACGCCGCATTGCAGCACCGACTGCTATTGATTGAACGAAAGCAGCAGACTGCAGGGGACGGACTTGATGAGGTGACACCCCCCCAGTTCCCTGGCTCACTGTTGCGTCGTTACGAATTGCCTGCGGCGAGCATCAACAGAAACACCGAATCGGAAACTACACAAGAAATAACGGATGGGGAGGACGAGATCCAGCATCTTATCCGCGACGCATTTTCTCTTGCTGCAAGCCATTCCTCACACGACGGCAGAGTTGTCACTGCATCTGATGCAGCGGTTTCCGGCGTCTTACCTGGTTTATTAGTTACTGAAAACGCGTATTTACGTGCCATGCGCACCGCCTATCGCTTGTATGGGCAAGAAGCGAATGATCCTTTGGCGGATGTCGTCGCTTCACCTGTGCACTTTTTAACCCCCGGTGGGTGCCGCCTTGACACAGACGAATCCTTTGCTAGTGTGAAATCGTCCCCACCTTGAGATGGGGTGCCATGGGGGTGCAGCGAGGAGTTATGGGATAGACTGATTCAATGCCACCGCCGTTGTTCGCCCGGCTCTTCCCTGCCGTTGAGAGTGCGTTGTTGCGTCCCGGCGCAACAGAAACGTTGAGAGGACTCTCCAGAGCCCGAGGCAATTGCTGCCGTACACGTGATATCAAGTAACAGGAGGTAGCTGTAAAACAACAGCAACAACAAACAACAACACATCACGCCGAAAGCGTGTTGCGGCATATGAGATGTTCGCTAGCATGAATCTAGTTTTTTTTTTGTTTTGATAGTGTAACGGTAGTTCTGTACAATGTCCCATTCGTACTTTTTTCCTTTGTAAAAATGTTTGCTGCTTCGTTTTGCCTTGTTGATGCCCTACTTCCAGGGAATAAGGGCAGTGCACATGTGTGTGCGTGTGCTCCCTCATGCTTGCCGTGGTACGTGTTTCGGTTTTTGAATGCCAGACCTTTATTGCTGCTCCCCAGTTGCTTCTCATTGTGTGTCGTCTACCACGCGCGGCTACAGAGAAAAGGGAAGGAAGAGGCATAGCGCCACAAACCGTTGCCACAGCGGCCTGTCACCCCCTCATCCATTGAGGAAAGACGAAGGAGTCGGAGCCCAAAAGGGGAAAAAAACGGGATAAAACCTTTTTCCTTTTTTTCTTCTCCTTTGTGCCTTTCTTTTCGTTTCTTGTGTTTGTGTTTGTGTGTGTGTGCGTGTGAGTGTGAGTGTCCTTTTGAGCTGGACACATACCTTTGAGGCCGCTGGTGACGTTGGAAGTAAAACCCGCACGCACACGTACACACGATTCAGACTGCACGTTTGCTGTTTGTTGGCCTCTTCTGGCGGGGGGTCGTGCCTTGGAAATTGTGTAGCGCGACAACAGGCCGAAGTTTCTGAGGCCGTTGGTTTTGCCCATTTTGTGGGCTTCTCGCCGGGTCACAGAACGCATTTGGAGGTGTACCCCCCGCTGAGACGGACGTACTTGCGCGGCGTGGGGGGACAGGCACAGTAGCTCGGCATGCGGCTCCCCGGGCACAGTGGCGCGGATGTCATCATTATTATCACACTTTTCTTGGTGACTTCGTACTCTGTGCATAGCTACTGCGTCTTTCTGTTTCCCCGAGCACTCTATGCGTTGGGATTGGCTTTTCTACAACCGTTCAGGAAGGGAGTGGCTCGACCAATTTCTTCCTCTCCTCTCCACCTCCAACATTTGCTTAACGTGTCAACAAAGGACTGGATATTGTTTGGCGTCTCCGTTTTTTTCTTTCTTCTCACATTGTGGTCTTACCTGGCGGCGGCATTCACTGATGCTGGTCGTGTGCCCCAGGCCTTCGGACAACATGCTCCCAGGAGCGCTTCCTTGGCGTTAAGGGTGTCTGGGGCACTAAACTTGTGTCCCGTTTGTGCCACCTACAAGCCGCAGAGGGCGCACCATTGCAGTCGTTGTAGACGTTGTGTATTGAAATACGATCACCACTGTCCATGGCTTGGTCGTTGTGTGGGGTTTTTCAACTACAAGCTGTATCTACTTGTGGTGCTTTACACCTTTCTGTTTTCCCTCTGGGTGGTGGCACTGCTGCTGTTGGCGATCTCTCTTTACATTGTAGAGCACTATCGAACCGTTGGGTCGAGGGTTTTGCATCGGGATTTGGGAACTTCGCGAAGCTGGCCTGATGGGATATGTTGGACGGGACCACTCATGGTGGGTGGCAGAAACCACTATCAGATGCATTCTGGGTTTCGAACTGCATCTTCCTCATCCATTAGCTTAGACAACAGCTTTGATGTTTGTCCCCCATTTTTAGGTGTGTACGTCTGCCTTCTGGAAGCCATTACATTTCTTGTCTTGACAGGCTTACTGCTGCGCAAGCATTTCTGGCTGGCACGGCATAACCTGACGACGCTTGATCTTGTTATTTATCAGCATCAGTTGGAGGAGGGGATTTCTTATGGACGCCCCTTGAATATCTTTGACATTGGTGTGAAGGGGTGTTTACATCAAGTCTTTGGTGACGGTGACGAACGGGGCGAGCATGTACATCGCAACTTCCTCGTGAGGTGGTTCTTTCGCCTCTTGCCCTTCCCCGCCTACCCCAAGCAAGCCGAGTTGTACTCCGATTCACCGCTTGGTAATAATGCCGTGGACAACCTGTCAGGTGGAACCCCGTTTACTGCGGTGTCACGCACGACCTTCTCGGTGCCAAGCTATGGGACGCTAAAGGAGCCGTCGCCTGCTTGCGACGCGGCCACCCGCAACAGCAGCGGTGTCGCTGCTGACATTAGCCGCAGGGGCGAATACCGTAGCTACCCCGTCCAGTTCCCCGGCCACACGGGGAGTCTAATTGGGCTGAGTTTTCCCACGACTTCGTCTGCCGCCGGAGCTGGTAGCGTGTGACATGTCGTGCTGTCGGCGGTGTTGCCGTCCCACTCTCTTGCCGCTGTGCATATTCGACTGGGGGCATTCCAACAGAAGAAGGCAGCAACCAAGATGAAGACGGGGTAAAAAAAAGTAAGGAGAAAACAACAACAACCAACTGAACACTTCGGCACATGACGGAGAAAAGTGGGAGACGAGAAGTCGGCGTTTGGCCGGAGGAGCGGTAGTTTCTTGTTTGTTTTCTTTTTTTTTTGTTCGCGGGTGGGAGAAAAGGGTTTTGCGTGTTCCTTTAGCAAAGAGAGAGGGTCAAGAGGGAAGGGACGAAGATTCCAAGGCGAAAATCAACACACGCACGCAGGAGAAGGTACGAAACGCTGCGAGGATGAGAGGGAGAGGGAGAGAGAGAGACCAGCGCTTGGAGGTGAGGCAAAGATGCACTTCCGCTCTGGGGAATGCTCAACGATTGTAGACGTTTACCGCCTGGTGGATGCATGGGAAGTTGCTCTCTTACGCCATGTGATAACCTTGTTTGAGCGCCTTCATTTTGTTTCACCGGCGCTTTTTTTTCTTTCTTTTCTTGCCGACGCGTGGGCACACACACACGCATACGTGCAAACAAACAAGCATCCACGCATCCAAAAGGAGTGTGTAGAATGCGCCGATCACATGCACTAATTTTTCTCGCCGCAGCTGGCTGCTTCCACGCAACTCCCACGCGTCTGCGGCAGCATCAGCCTGGCGGGGGAGGTCTCTCCAATATCGACGACTTTGCCAAGATTCTCTCTCAGGCCAAAGCCAACTCACCTGGCAATGGCTCTTCCTCAGACTTTTTTAATGGTCGCTTTGAGGGCGGGAGTGCCACCATGGATCCCTCCATGCTGCAGAATATGCATCGCACCTTGAACCAGTCACTGACGCCGGAAATGCAGGATTCGATGCGTGCCATGATGGAAGGCCTGAAGCGCGGCGACGGGATTCCACAGATGGGGGTGATGGCATTTGGTGTGGGCGAAAATGAGAGGGGAAAAAAGGTTGCCCGCGGTGCCAAGTTAACCTTTGACCCAAACACGGGGAGGGTGTCAAAGGACTTTGTGGAGAGTCAGCTGGAGGAGGATGACCCGATGCTGCCCAAAGAGACGGTCGGGGACTACCACACGGAGGGAGCCATTGAGGTGGAGTTTGAGGAGGACTCGCGAAGGCGCGTGCCCACCGCCGCGAAGCCAATATCTGAAGCTGACGTGGTCCTGGAGGGGCCTTCGGCGTCGTCAAGAAGAAGTGGCAGCAACACAAGAAAGTGAGGAGGCGTAGCCGTGAAGGAATGATGTGGTCCACGGAGCAGATTGCCCTAGTTCATGACAAGGCCCTCAGATTCTGTCATGGCACTACAGTCGTCCATGCACTTCCGCTCCAAGAAGCAAACGAGATCAATAATAAAAAAAAGAGAGAGGCTTGTATGAGGGAGGAGAATAAAGGGTTGCGCATGCAGAGGCACATGCTGGCTTGAATTTTTGCTGCCAACTTTCTCTTTTTGTTTTTCATCGTTTCGGCCACTGGTGTCTCTGCGCCTCGGTGGTTGTTGTGTTTCTGCTGGGGGCAACGTGTGGGTGGGTGGAAAAACAACAACAACAAGGGAGAAATTAGCCACAACTCGTATCTTCACCATGCAGCCTCACCTGGTAGTTTGTGGCTTGTACTAAGCATGGATTCACCACACTTGGGGAGAGGAGTCTTAGGCCTCACACTGCTTGTCGCGCGTCGGTGACGCGGCGAAGTGCTCAAAGTTACTTTTTCCTCCTTTTCTCTTTCTTTCTACTTGTCCCACTTAATAGAAGCTAACAGGAAGAAAAAGCAACCCAGTTATTATTATTCTTCTTCTTTTGGTGTTACTACTTTGCCAAAGACGAGGAATAAGAGCGAAGGGAAATTATTATTTTTTGTTATTATTATTATTATTATTATTATTATTTTCCTTTTCTGCAGGAAGTAAGGAAAGGTAAGCTACGATGATGTCTTTTTTCCATGTTTTTCCTCTTTTGGTGGTGTTTGTTCTGATGGTCACACCTCTGCCCTTTGCTGCAGAAGGTGTACTTCTGGCTTCTTCTTCCATCGAATACTGCGATCGTGTAAGCGGCACGGAACTGCTTCCGTGTGAGAAGAAGATGGTGGTGACGCTGTCGGTGGATAATGCGCAGGCTGCAGGCGTGGAGGAGTTTGTGCTCTTGCAGGATGCCGTGGACAAAACGCGAGGTACAGGGAAAGAGCTCGCGAGATTTGAACCAATCCGTCTGACGACGAAAAAGTCACGCGTTCAATACCGATACCCTCTTTTTTATGAACGCAATTTCAACTCCAAGCCGTACGAGGAGCAGATTCCAACGGAAATAATTGGGTGTGATGATGGATCCAGCCCCGAGGCAACATGTGGAGTGGTTCTCGACGCGGCGGGGGAACCAATTCCATACAGCGGGGGATTCTGTTGTCGATGCGGCATGTGCCAACTGTTGGGCATCTGCCCTCCGGACAGCCGTGGTCTTCATGTGTGCAACGTGTTCGGAGAGGCTTCCCTGGCCTCGTGCCTCCGTTTTGGAGAGCTCTGGTACAGTGGGTACAGCATAGGCTCGCCCTCTGCCTGGTACCGACTGGAGGTGACGCTAACGGCTGGCTCCTCAACTGAAGCCAAGAAGGCGAAGCAGGCATCCTTTGAGCTGGGGCCGGATGTGATTTCGGGCTCCTCAGCGGAGTTTGGAGCTTGGGCCAAGCTTGTGGGGGACTTTATGCCAGCGGAAACGCCATTGCTTCTCTCTGAGAAGATGCTTTTTGTCCCCAACTTTCCGAGGAATCACAAACTTGTTTTGGCAGGCCCACCAGAATGGTTGCTGTTGGACAAACACCGTGTGAGCATGCAGGGTCGAGAATGTAACAAGGTGGGGGTCTCATATGAGGCTTTTGGCAGTCAAGGCAGCAGGTGCCAATTACAGCGGGGGTCATGTCTGGCCGATCAGTTGGAGGACTACCGTTTGAGTGACATGGCAGTTGAAGCCAAAGGAGGCAGAGGCCAGTATATGGCCCGCTTTTTTGGCGATTTTGCGCTCAGTACAGCCAACAGCACCGACACTCCAATTCTCTCGTACTGGATGCGGGGGTCGCTGGCGACGATGGTCACTATCGTCATCTCGGCGGATAGACTGAAGTATGTACTCTCGGTCTCCCCAGGCGAAATTGTCGCCACAGAGGTGTCGAAGTCGACGATAGAGGCTGCTTCACGAGATGGGGTGCTTGCTGTGACGGTGCGCAACACTGGCAGCATAACAGCGCAATACACTCTTGGGGTGGGGAACTGCTCAAGACACGTTCACCCTATGATGGCCCAGCCCATGAGTATGGCACCACAACAGACACTGACACGCAGTTTTGACTTAAATGTGCAGGGCACGTTGGAGGAGGGAATCGTGACGTGTGATGTGACCTTACGAGACGCGCGAGGTGATATCGCCGACAAGAAGGTTGTGGAATTTCGCGTGACAAGCGTGAGATGGACGAACGGGACACAGGGCGATAATACACCCACTGGAGATGGCGCCAGCGTGGGTGGTAAAGACGGTTCAGCTTGCAAACGTTGTGAGTGGTACATAATCATCTGTTTTCTGGTGCATCGGTGTTGGTGGCAGCCGTTACTGTATGTTCTGATTGCTATTGCTTTGCTAGTGGGGGTGTATTTTGCTTTTAAAATGTGTTCGTGCTGCACTGACGCCCAGAAAGCGCGTGCGTAAGCTTTTTAGAGAATGTGACTGTCCTGCAGACTATGTTTCATCACAGCATGCCCGCCGTTCGCCGGCGTGGCACACAAACGTACAGCCCAAGAACACACACATATATATATATATATTCTGCTTTGTGGTTTTTATTTATTTCTTTTCCATGGGGGGAAGCAAGGGATTGTCGCGGGGGCTGCTGATTCGTATTTCCTTCCTTCCCATTTGGTCATTTTCGACCGCCTCATTATAATTGTTATGGTTCTTGCCTTCGGGGGTGGGTGAGGGTGCTGGAAGGGTCGGTTCTTGGGCTGAGTTACAGGGGATTTTATTTTATTTTCTATTTTTATTTTGGGAGGGGGAGGGACGGCCAGCTTCCACTCGCGCGCTGCTGCGATGGTGGAAAGCCAAGTCTTTGTGTGTGTGATTTTTTATGTGTGTTTTTTTTTTCGTCTCTGTTGCTGCAGTTCTTGTCCAACTCCTCGTTGGAAGCGTCACATTTTCTCTTCCCTTTTCTTTCTACTCGCCACGCCCGTGAGCATTTATTGCTGGTGCGCCTTCACGGCCGCCCCCAGCGCCAACAACACCGTAAACAGTAGCACAAGAGCGAGAGGACGAGAGAGAAGTGTTATAAGTTTCTATTCCTATTTGTCTGACTCACCATGCTGATCGTTCTGGCGCTCCTTTTCCTCTCTGTTGGGTGTGGCCTCGACAATGTGGCGCATGGTTTAACGTTTGGCGTGATTGGAGACTGGGGTTTAGGGGCGCATGCGAATGGGCACGGTCCCGAGATCATCTCTACGCGGCGCTACACGGAGGTGTGCGGGCGACTTGGCTGTAACTTTACAATTAGCGTGGGGGACAACTTCTACTGCAGTGACGTGGCGTTCTGCATTCGGCATTCGTTCGAAGTGGCGATGAGGAATGTGTCCGGTCCTTTCTTTCCCTGCACGGGTAACCATGACAACGTAAAAGCGCAGATTGAGTACGCGAAGCGAAATCCCCGATGGTATTGGCCGAGTCGTTACTACACCGTGAAGCTTCCGATTGACGACACGGGTCATACCGTGCAGTTGTTTGCTGTGGATTCGCTTGATTATTCGCTCTGGAACGGTAGACAACTTGGATGGTTAACAGAGGAGTTACGGCGAAGCAATTCTCGCTGGAAAATTATATTTGGTCACTATCCCACTACCGGGAGTGGGCGGCACAAGCGGGTGGGCTCGGTGGGACGGATTCACCAACTAATGAAGCAGTTCAACGTGCAGGCGTATTTTAGCGGCCACGATCACATTGTGGAGGTAAATAATATAGAGGGGCGTGTGCTGGCGTTAAGTGGTGGAATGTCACGCGGTGCGCTGATGGCGTACGCCATTGCCGGGCAGGCGCGACGCTTTACCCTTACCAGTCCCAGTGAGTACAGCCCGTATAGGCAGGCGTGGCCCAGTCATGGGTTTATAACAGTGGACTTGGCTCCTAACACGATGAACGCAAATGTATGGGACTCCGCCGGGGGCATGCACTACGAGTTTGTGGTGACGCATGATTGGATGCAAAAAGTCATGCTTCTGCCACCTACAGCTCGGAATACGTGGCCACCGCCGCGCGTCGTGCTGCAAGCGATGAAGGATGAACGTACACTACCCCGCGGTCCTGGCGGAGGGACTATTTTTTTCGCCAATGGAACGCGTATAACACTTCCAGGCGACGACGATCGCGGGGGCCGTGACTCAACGTGGACACCGTCAGGGCACTCCTCCGCCCCACCAGCGCCGGCATCGAGGCCACCGCCCACACCTGTTCCAGATTACATCCAATACGGCGTCTTCACCGAGTGTGAGGCATGTAATATGAGGCCCCGCGCCGGAAGGCGATTCACGCTACGTATTACAGGCGAAACCCTTGATTTAAACCATCGACTGTACTTGACGGATCGGCCGGATGGCTGCGGGGACGCCAGTCGAGGCACTCACGTTTTGCCGGGGACACGCATTGAAACTCCTCTCTGCAATACCTTCATGCTGAACGTGGCACGAGTGGTGGATCGTGTCTATGTTTGTTTTAGCGTGGATGCCGGTGCCACCTACAGCAGGCTTCTCCGTGAGGATACCGTGGATGAGTCGTACACGTTCTCTATCACCGCCCTCTGACGCGCCTAGCATACGACCCAAATTTGTTTTTAATTACTTTATTGTGATTTGCGTCATCAAGTGTCTTTTATTAAATTTATTTATTTGTTTTATTTTTCTGCTGCGCTCCCCTCCCCAGGTTTGCTTCCCTTCTCTGGCTTGAGTCCGCGGGAAACCAAACCCCGAAGGGGAAAAACAATTTCGTGCCTTTGTGTGTCCCCCATACTCTCAATTTTCTTTCTTTTTTTTTTTTATTCGGCTGCTGCTGTTTTTTTTTTTTGCTTCTGCGTGCGTGTGGGCGTGTCCCCGGCAAAGGCTACAGCGCTGCAGGAACAGCACTCAAGAAAAGTTCCTGCTATTTGAGTTCTACCGTATATACGTTCCTTCTACACCAAATACGTGAGACATATATTAGCCTCCCCCAAGCCCCTGGGCCGGGCTGACAGCTTATATTTCTGTGTGCCTGTTTTTTTTTTTTAATAGGTTATACAATCGCGTGGAGGTACCTCCACGCGTGCATAGGAGAACAACGCCGTCGACGATAATGTCGGAGGACACAACCTTGCAGCTGAGGCTGTTTCTTGCTGTTGTTGGTGCCCTCGCCTTGTATTATTTGCTACTTTCTTTGGCGATGGCGGCTACGCGTCGTTGGGTAGATTTTTTTGCGTCACTGACCGCAACTTTTACACTGGCGGTGCCATTCTTGACGTGGGGCCTCGCTTTCGTCCGCCGCAGGAAGCGTGGGGTGCTGAGGAGGGCGGTCGCGCAGTCTTCCACTCCGCATGAGGAATCACGACCGAAGCCATTGACGGACGAACACTCTCCCCCCCTAGAAGTTTCACGAGAGGGGGGAAGCCTCACAGAGAATGATACCAGCGCGGAGCCCAATAGGGCTCGAGCTACCCTGACATTAAACCCGCTGTCTTCCGTCGGTTCAACCTCAGTCCAGGTGCTGACGCCTGACCAGGGTGACAAAAATTTCCCTTCTTTGCCTATTCCGAGTCACGTGTGGTTGCCCGCGGTACGGCGGTGTCGTTCCTCAGAGGGAGGAGGAAATGCTGCAGAGAAGAAGTCAACACTATCAGCACGAGGCGGCAATGATGGATTCGGGGGCAGAGGTGCAGTATTGGAGCCACCGAAGAAAAGTTTTTGTGAAACTCACGTTTCATCTGTTTCTACTCAAGGCTTAGTGAATGATGATGTGTTGCCTGGTAGCGCCCCGAGACAAGAGGCACGGTCCGGAGATTTTTCTGAAGCGAGCCGCATGCGGAGGACACCGGCGGTGTCCCTTTATGCTCCAGCAGAAACGAGTGAGAAACAGCTCCCTGGCACTAACTCTGGTAGGAGCCCGCCTCCGTTTAATGCCTATGCGACGCCAGAGCTCATTACCGTTGTGCCTCCATGGGCGTTGTGGGCGCTGCTTATTGTTCTGGGTCTACTGCACCTGTCTTTACTCGCAGGGTCATTTTGGATAGCGTACGACACAAAATATCTCGTTGCAGTTACCCCTGTTCTTGCATCCCCGCTCCTCCATTTACAATTGTTGCAACTTGTGCGCCACGTTAGCTTTGAAGAGATTGGCTCACCAATTGGAAAAGGCCTTCTTCTCCTCCTTCACCCCGTTTCGCCCATTCTGCTTGCAGCCCTTGCATTGGTCTTGTACGTTGCCTGTATTGGTCTGTGGGTGGGGAAAAGCTGGGGGCACGAAGACCCACTGGGTCATGCGACTCTTTCATCGATGGTATTAAAAACACTGTGCCTTTGTGCCCCGATTCCCATCTTTTTCCTTACGGCCTTTCTCCTTGCATTCCCAATCATCGGGCCGAATAAGACGCCGCCGCGCATTTTGACGCTTACGAAATCTGACCGCGTCGATGAGGAGCAGCCGGTGGGAACGCGGCAATCCCCTCTGGACCCCTCCAATGCCTCTCCAGGCGTTGGTGGCTCGTTCGCCGACATGGAAGACTCCCTGCTTTCCTCCATTGTGTGTTCGCGAAAAACTTCATTGACGACAGTACGCTACAGTCGTTCTGGTCAATCGGTTATCTTTATGTCACCGGCTCTTGGCGACGCCCGTGCTGCCTCCGCTGTTAGTGCTCGTATTGGAACCCATCCGCAGCTGAAAAGCCTGACACTGCTTTACGTTGCCTTCCGCGACGTAAATATTGCCAGTACAGGCGTCGTCGAGGGCGCGGAAAAGAAGAGAACCAGGCCTCCAAAGGACCCGTTGGATATGGCCGCGGCCTACTTTCGAGCTCTGTTAGAGGTGGCAAACGAATTGGAGCTTTCACACGGCCCATTCTTCTTAACGGCTCACCAAGATGCTTTGTGTTTTGTATGGGGGATGCTGCCATTGTCGGAAGATCCCGTGCTGCGGGCGGTGGATGCTGCGCAGCATTTCTTTCTATCCTTTAGACCACCGAAAGGCAGCGAGGTCAACGGCGCACTTGTAGCTGCGGTACTACACTCTCCCCACGCGCTGGTGTCAATTTTCGGTACAAACGACCTGACGAATGTGCATTTCTTAAGCGATGAACACGCTGTTGGAGAGCAGCTACTAGACCGTGGATTTGTGCTTCGTGGATTGGAGAGAAATAAACAAAGGGAAGTAAGGTTTTGTACAAGTGGGATTATCCTTGACCGTCGCGCGTCCCACCTTGCCGCTTCGCATCTATTGACTCGCCCCGTCGGTGTGGTGCCCTCCATCGCACGTGCAGCAATGAGCGCGGCGACCTTTTCAAATACGCTACTGGGGGAATTCACGGTAGTCTACGACTTTGTTAGCAGAATTGGCGACAGAGAGGAGGAATGGCATCTTGCGGCGCAGGCAAGAGAGCAGAAGTCGGCCGGTTTTCTCCCTGCGGTTGAAGCCACACATGCTTTTTTTCAGGGCAATCTAAAGGGAGCCATAGATGCACTTGAAAAACCGGCTAATGATAGTGACGATGCGCTGCTGCGGCTGCTGCTTTCCGATTTTAAGCGCATTTTAACCGCCACTGGAAGCTCCCGCCGGGAGTAGGAGGAATAGGAGGAGGATGACGCCCACGAAGGGAGTGGCGTACGACTTTGAGTACCTAAATATGTGATTCCTTTTAGTTATGTCTATGTGTGTGTGTTTGTTTTTTTCTCTACATCAAAAACAAGAAAAAAAGGTGCAGCTTTGTTTTTCTTTTTTTTGCTCTTCTCTGTGTTTCTGTGCGTGCGCGTGTGCGCTTCAGATGTTCTTTTGTGCAGGGCCGAGATAAACAACAGAGCAAAAATGTATATCGTGCTGGAGGAGGACGTGATATCTTCTTGGCGTCCTCTGTTGTTGCTGTTTTTTTTCCTATGGGTTATATTGGATGTTTGTGTGCGTGTGTGTGTGTGTTTTCCTTCGTTTTTCTTTTTTTGCCTTCCTAGCCGTTTCGAGGTGAGTTGTAGGAAGCAACGCAAAGTTCCTTTGCGTTCTTTGTTTCTATGCTTATTTAGTTTGATTGTGTGGGAGGCCCCGCTGCGGGGCTCCGCGATGTTCGCTGGAAACAACATACGGGCGGGCTGGATAAAGGGTCTGTTGATGAGGGCTTTTGGGGCGGCGGTGGGTCCGGGGTGCGGCCCACGGGAAGAACGGGGAGGTCTCTTGGAGGGGCGTGGGGAAACCGCAAAACGCGGGAAGTATGAGGCCCCGAAAGAAACCAGCCAAACGCGGCGTGGTGGGACAACCTGTTGGTCTCTGTGGTAGCCGCTGTCTGCCTTCTCACTTGTTATTTGTTTTTTTTTTTGTTTGTTGCTCCGCTTCTCCTTCCTTTTCCTTGGTCACCTTTTTACTTGGCTCTTTCCTCCATTGGATGGAAATAGATCTTTGAGCGTGGCACCTTGATTCTATGCGAGAGATGCTGGGCATATACTTCCCGAGAAGTGATGCTAAAGGCGCGAAATGTACAGTTTCCTTCTCCCATCTCTTGGCGCTGACGAGTCTCGTCATCCACGCGTTGTTGTTGGCTCCGTTGCCACGACGCGGGTTGTTCCCCCCTCCCTCCCCCCCTGTTCCCTCGTCTTCCCGATATTTTGCAGTCAGACATTCTTTTTTATTCCTCTCTTTCGCTCTTTTTTGCCGGAGCCGCAGGGCGTCTCTGCTTCCAGGCAGAGAGGCAATTCCGTCTCTCTTTGGGAGACAGCGTGGCGGTGGGGGGCTCAGGCCATCGATAAAAGGGAGGGACTGCCGGCTGTGCTCCGTCAATGTCGCGGGCAGGCAGACAAGAGTCACAGAAAAGGCCGCTGCGTGGCAACAATGGCGCGCGCCCTTTGGAAGCCAAAGTCGCCTGCGGGGACCGCGCGCGACCGCCGCGGTCGCAGCCGAAGAAGGAGAACACTGCAACCGGGGCACCTTCCAGGGCGTTGAACAATTCTCGAGGTGGCGCGGCGCCCGTGTTGGCTTCCCGTGCTCTCTTCCCGTCGTTACTGCGTATGCCGTCTGTGAAGGAAATGTACTCAGTTGTGCTCGCCGGCACTACAGGGAAATCTACAGATATTCCTTCCGCTGGAGAGAGTCGGCTGCCTTCAGGAGATCACAGTGTCATTGCCGCAATGTTTTTGCGGCAACTTCGGGTTTCTTGCGCGGCGTACACGGGAAAAGCGCCCAGTGATAGTGGCGGTGCCAATTCAACTAGTATTCTTAGCAGTGGTCGTGGGAGTTCTGATGTGTTGTGCTCAAACGCAGGGCTTATCTTTTATCGCCATCTTCACGACTTGCACCGATGGCTATTTCCGTGCGGCACACGTGAACATGTGCGCCCTGTAGTTGTTAAGCATGCGTGGCAGGCACTGTTTTCCAAGAAACTTCGACCATGGCGGGTATTTATGGCTATCTTAGGTTCTGACATGATGCTTGCCGATGAGAATGCGGCGTCAGGCTTTCTGACAATGCTGTACAATATTTTGCGCAGCATAAGTCGCCCGCGTCGCAGGCGAGTTGTCAAGATGTGTTCCCGGCTTCGATTATCGCAAGAATGCGTTTCCATCCTTGAGGGGTGCGAGGACGCATTTGCGGCCGCGGTGCGACTGTGCAATTGTGACAACAGTACAAGGACCGCTAGTGTGGCCTTGTCGCGTGAAAGGGGTTCACAGGATCTGAATACACGATTGCTGGGGGCTAACAGCTTAAATTCCCCGCCGTTTGCTTTAATGCGTGTGGTGGAGGCGGCGGCAATGATATTAGGACTTTGTGGATCTGAAAACACGAAGGTGCTGCGGGTTGTGCGCCGTACAAATGCCTTATCATCATTGCTTCGCGTCACCGAGTTACTCTTTGCCACCCTGGCCCACCAGTTGTCCCAGTTAATGGCGAACGGCGGGAATTACGTTGTAGCTGATGGTAGGGGCGCCGCCGAGGTAGCGTGTTGCAGGAAGGGAGCTCCGTCGAACTCTGCTTCCATTTATGAGCATGTGTTGCCCACCTGCGATGCCCTTCTTCACCTGGTTGTAGCACTTTATCAACTTGCGTCCCTTTCGGCGAATGCTGAATTCATGGGCGAACGTGGCGTGAAGCTTTGCGTTCAGCTTGGCTGGATGCTGCACAGCTTTCTCTCAAGAACGATACATTCCTTGCGAGCACTTTATTTGCCGTTACAGGATCACCTTGAGCGACTGGCGTTGTGGTCGATTGAACTCTTGTCCCGTCTCTGCTGCGGCGTAAAGGCGAGGAAACGCTCACTGGAAGCGGCACGGGAGCAGGGGGCTGTTGGCATGCTTGTTAATTTTAGCACGCATCCATCACGGCGCGCGGAAGTTGGGCTTTCCTCTCTCAACACCTTAAATGCCTTAACAACCAAGGATAGTGGTTGTCGAGAGCAGCTGCATGGTGACTTAGCGGAACTTTTTGCTCTTGTTCGCGGTGTCGTCTTTGCGGCCGAGTCGACAGCTCGCTCAGCGGCCCACTGGCACAAGCTGTACGTGTCTTTGTATGCATTATTTGGCATCGTCACACTCCCGGGTGAGGTGGATGCCTCCCCACGTAATGAGAGCACGACCCCCACGCTCCGCGTCGTGCCTGCGTTGCGGTCCCTCCCCACCTCAGCGCCGGATGACCCGCGCAAATTGTCGTTGCTCCGCGTGGGTGAAATGACGATGCCAGTCTCACTTCTTCCGATTGATTTTCAGCCGGACGCCTTTTCACCGGAGTTGCATAAGGAAGGGGATTGGGGTTACGCCGCGGACACGTTTGCCTTTGTTGCGCCTGACAAACTGCCTTGGGCGTTTTCCGATGACGGTTTGCCCCCTTTCCGCGAGATCGCCGCCTCTCTCTTCCCGGAGGCGGAGGCGCTGGGAAGCTGCCCACCCGCGTCTGCGCCGGAGGTTCTTCAGCCCGCCTCATCCGAGGCGCACGTTCGAGTGCTGAAATGCCTCATTGAGCGTCTGTGCACGTCGTCGCGCTGCATCGATCGCATCGTCTATGAGCGAGCCCCACTCGTTTTGTCACCATCACTGCAGGCGATGTTGGAAGAGGCGACAACGCCGACGCCGGAACGGGTGCCGTTGTTGAGCGGAGATGAAAACAGAGGAGGAGGAGGAATAGGAAGGCCGACCAAGTTTGAGGCTCCTTCCTTGCCAGGATTCCTGAAATTTCGATCCGACTTTGAGTCTGGTAACCTGCAGCGTGCTGTTGCCATCGATGAGGTGGAGTACGACCTTGTGCTAAGCCCTGACACAAACACAAATTGCCATGTGCAGTGGTTCTGTTTTAGCGTGGAAGACTACATGCCCGGCGCGACCTACCGCTTCAACATCCTCAACATGGAGAAATCCAGCTCGACCTTCAACGAGGGTCAACGACCCCTCATGTTGTTGGTTGAGGACGCCTCGTCAAGCCCAAGTGCGTCGGAACTCCCGCAGTGGAGGCGTTGTGGGCACGACATTTTCTACTACAGAAACTTGTATAAGCGCCCGGCACGTTGCACCACGACCACCACTGCAACGATGGAAACATCCGGGATGGAGATGGTCAATGGTCATGACGGCAGCGATCGCGGATTAAACCGCGGGCGGCAGTCCTCAAAGAAGGCAAAAAAAGCCTTAAAGACAAGGCATTGCAAAAACCAGCATGAGGAAGGGACCTCTTTTTGTTATACGCTGACGTTTTCGGTGGTATTTCCAGAAAAGAAAGGGCGTGTGTTTTTGGCAAATTGTTTTCCGTACACTTACACCAACCTGATGGCCGACGTCCGTCAGTGGGAGCAGCAGGGAAAGGCTGCCCTTGGTGCCTCTGCCATGGTGGCAGTGCAACAGCTCTGTTTGACACCCGGTGGTCTTCCGGTGCCTATTATTACCGTGACGGCAGGCACCTCGCTAGACGAGGATGCTGGCAGCGGAGAGGATAAAAATCCGTGCAAAGAATCCGGTGTTGCGGCGTCAAGAGGAATAGAGGAGCGCCCGGTGTGTATTGTGACCTCGCGAGTCCACCCTGGAGAGAGTAACGCCAGTTGGATGTTGCGTGGGCTGCTGACTTTTCTTCTTAGCGACGAGGAGGAGGCCCAGGCGCTGCGGAGCGGTTTCGTGTGGAAGATTATCCCCATGCTGAATCCCGACGGTGTTGTGCTTGGAAACCATCGTTCCTCGCTCGGGGGAGCTGACCTCAACCGAGACTACGCAGCCCCAAACCCGTGTATCAATCCCGTGATTTATTCGCTGAAGCAGCTCACTCAACACATGATTGCGCGAGAACAACGCCATGTGGCGCTATTTGCAGATCTGCACGGACACTCACGCGCCAAAAACTTTCTCATCTACGGATGTACACGACGCCCCGAGGCGCCGGAGAGCAAACCGGCCGTCAAGGCCCTAGTAGCACCGCTATCGCCTCCAGTGGAAGTTTCCTCCAGCAATTCCAATTTGGATACTCGTCGACAGGTGCCGCCCCCCACGAGCTCAATAAGTACTAATTCTCTTCATGTTGAAAGATTTTTTCCTTTTATTCTAAGTGGTCTTTCTCCCGCCTTTGCACTATCACAATGTTCCTTTACGGTGCATAAGAGCAAGCGGAATACTGGACGGGTTGTGATGTTTCGTCAATTTGGGATACGCATGAGTTACACACTGGAGGCAACCATGATGGGAGGGAAAGACGATGGGGTGTTTTGCCGCAACAACGGTGTGACACCGAAAAGGTTACCAGGAGGTCTCTTTGGGGTGCAGCAGGAAGACAAGGCAAGTGAAGAGGCTAGCAAGGAGGAGGCAAAAATAAAAGGAGCCGTGGAGCCATGGCCTCCAGAGGTCGCCTACACCACTCTTCAGTATGAAAATATGGGGGCGTTGCTGGTTCGCGGCCTTCATCTCCTCAGAATAGATGGTGAGGGTGTAAATGCCTTTAAGAAGGAGGCTATTGAGCGCGCATGGTCATTGCTATTTGCTGGTGCCAGCAATGTGGAGACGACAAATGTATTAAACTCTCCTGTCATGGGTGGTTCGTATGCGTTTTCGACGCGAAAGGAACGCCGTCCGGATGCTCTCAGGGTGAAGAAGGAGAAGACGGCGACCGCCACCACGCTGCCAATGGAGCAGCGCAGGGAGTTGCTGCGCGCACTGCTCGTGCGGCCGAAGGTGTCAAGTATGCAGCCGATGGCCCTTGGCCCCGTGTTATTGGGAAGTGAAAGTGACGATGAGGATGAATCTGAGAGCTCGGACGGCGAAGGCGACGACGACGACGAGGGAAACCAGGATAACGCCCCCCGACGCGAAGCTGTTGACGACGCTGAGAGCGACGGAAGCGACGATGAGAACGAGAACGACGATGTCGACGTCGACGACGATGATGATGAAGACGAGGACGATGATGATGACACGGACGATGATGAGGATGAAGAGCTTCCGTCCTCTGAGATTGGCGGGCTCTATTTCCTGGAGTAGCGTCCATTGTTGGCCTAACAGGCGACTGAAACACCACTTTCTTTTCTGATGGGCGTCACCGCATTGTTTGGTTACGTAGTTTTGCCCCTCCCTCATCTATTTCCTTTTTGACGAAATTAGCTTCCTCGACAACGCAATAATACGATGCAATTTTTTTTTGATTTATGCCTTTTTGTTTTGGCTTTTTTTTTTTTTGGGTAGGGGGAGGGGGGAGGGGGAGGGGGATTTTCTGCACGCTTTCCTTTCATTTGCATTGATTTGCGTTTTTCTAACCGCCGCAGTTTTGCCACATAGAGACGCCTTGGAGCAGATGCTGGATAATGATTGGCTTCGCAGTTCTTCCTTGCCTGCTGACGGCCCACCTGTTGATCGTGGCAGCGTGGGGCGGGATGCCACTGCGGCGGCGAACAGTGGCTCCCCGCGGAGTGAAGGACAAGGACTTCTCGTGGGTGTCGGAATCGGCAGCATTGCCGCTTACTTGATTTACGCGATGTACCGCGCAAGTCATAGGGGAGCACCGCAACTTTTTTGGGCCCCTTCATCCGTGACGGCATCGCAGTCATCGCCATCTTGCCACGCAGCGGCGCGTGACGGGGCAGCTGATCTGGCCAAGACACCAACGCTGACGCTGGTGAATTTTCCTAAACAACTCTGGGGATGCTTTGAACGATGCTTGCGACCGCTGATCAATGCGGAGGAGCTTTCCCTGCGGGCCGCATGTGTTGTCTTTTTTCATGAAGTGACTGAGGTCACACCCAACAACGTGGAGGCCGTAGTTCGCCAGGAGGTGGTTTCAGCCTTTAACCAGCTTAAGGGAGCTCCATGTGCTGTCTATCGTTCCGCCCTGGCGCTTGATGGAGAGCCGGCCAGCCCGTTTTGGGGACCTGAGGAGGCGGTAACGGCGTCGCGAGGACGTGCCTTTCTTGAACGCCATTGCATTGGGTACACCGTCGATGGTGGTCGAGTGGAAGTCCTCTTCCACGATACAAAGGGAATGGTGGGAGCTGTCGCCAATTGTGCCGCGGCAATGCAAACTGACCGCCACCTGGATGACGTGGATGATGCGCTGCGACGTTGTTTCTGCGCGACCACACGGACCTTTTCTCCAGGTAAAGAAGAGGGATGGGACGCCGTCGGGGCCTTTTCCTCCTCTGGGCCCGGAAAATGCATTGACGGTCCGTACGCTCGCTCCTTCGGGGCGCTGTGGCTGAGTCCTGTGCCGCTCTTCGCGATGTTTGGGGCGGCGGTGCGGTACAGTCGCGCCGAGTTTGATGGTTGGAGACGGCTTTCTGACCCAGACGCGGGTGATGGGTCCCCCCTCTGGCTGGTAAGACGAGTGTGGCAATGGTGGCAGGGGAGGAAACAATCGAAGTTGGGTGTAAGCACGGGTGAGAGTAGCAAAGGGGACACCTTCACCGTGGAGATCGAATTTGTCCAGGATTCGGCATCCACCGAGACAAATTGCAGTGAGCTCTTTGAGGATGCCATGAAAAGCACACGGAGGTGTTGTGGTGATAAGGGGACGGTAAAAATAGTTGCTTTGCCTTCTGCGTTGGGCACCATTTTGCGCTGCTCGTTGCGTCCTGGTCTTACTGTGTTTCAGGCGCTCTGGGAGGCATGGAGACTGACTGCGTTAGCCTCATGCCACAAGTGCGAAGTGCAACGATTCCGTCTCCTCGTTGCAGTTAGTCCCCCAGCGTTGTCTATTTCGGACGCCACGGTTGGCGGCGAACATGCGTCGCATCCACAAGTTCAGGTTTTTCCACTGTCACGGGAAGAGATGGGGTCAACTTCTCCGTCTTTTTTCTCCTCCGCACAGTACTTTCGTCTGCTGAAAGACGGTCGTTGTGTGGAGGCGGCGGAGGCGTTTCGACGCATTCAGGAGGGGGATGTGCATCAGCTCTGCTATGTTGTCGCGGAATACGTGGCGGGGGATTTCGAGTGTGATTCGGAAGGGCGTACATGAGTGGGTGAAGGCAATTGCGAGACATGGAGCTTGGTAATTGTTATGACTGTGGGGAGGTCGTTGGTTTAGTCCCTGATGTTTTTCCTCCTTTTCTTTTTCTTTCTGCCGCCTTTTTTCTCGGGCCAAGTTTTGTTCCGTGCATGCGTCTTCTTGTTTCATTTTTTCTTTATTTTTTTTTTTTTATGTTTTCTTGCCAATCCAATTTCTTCTTCGCCTGCCCGGATATGAGAGGCTGGGCGCTCATGCAGACAGGCCTGAAAGCAGGGATCGTTGAACGGGACAATGTCCTTGTCCCCATCAAGGACATCACCTGGGTTGGGAAAAATGTGTTTGCTGTGTGCGTGCCAGCTTACGGGCGAACAATCGGCTGCGAGCTGACAGCCGTGGATGTGCCACGCGGCACCGCACCGACCCTTGAGGAAAACGTGGTGGGGGCTCTAAAAGAAGTCCGCCGTGCACCGCACAAGTATCTGCGGCAAGACCACTATGCCTCGTTTCCACTCCAAGGCTACGGAGACATTATATTTGGCACGGGTGACGACGCAACGAAGTGGTTTTCGTTGCAGGAGTTTTTGCTGCGGCGCGGGGTTGGCCGCATTGTGCGTCCCATATTCACACGACTGGATGAACTTATCCAGGCGGAGTTGGAGGGCTTAGGGGATACAAGTCAACCCCCAGACGGTCGTGAGCCGCCGTGCGTGTGGGCATGCCGTCTTTTCCAGTTTGAAAAAAGTCCATTGTTCCGCAAGGAATTGACTGGACAAATCATAGATGTTCTGCGGGGTGATGTGTATGTGGTTCGCTGGGACAAGGAGCAGGTTGTGAGCGGCAACTGCCCAAGCAAAGATAACGGCAGTAAAGGTAATAATAACGCCCACCACGAAGAGTGGCCACCGCAGCTAGTGCTTCTTGACGCTGTAAAGTGTCTTTCGTCGCGAACGGCGAATGGCTTCAAGGCGCTGCGGTGGGCACAAAAGCACCTTCTCTACTCCCGCGTCAAAGTCTGCATTCACTCCACCTGGCCGTCGGAGAAGGACGTGTCAAATAACACGCAACTCTTCTCTCATGAGCAGTTGCGATGTGTGCGGTCGACCGTATACTTCCGACCACGGGGCTCTGAACCGTGGAAGACGGCCACGGCGGGTGCTAGTAATGTAGGTTGCACCCTGGTTTCAAAGGGGCTCGGATTCGTTCGACAGGTTGTGGATGCTGCGATGCCGCGTTCGGAGGATTTTCATGAACTTCTTTTAGCTGCCAGGGACCGGTGCCGTGCGATGGCAGATGCTGCACCGAAAGATGCAAAGCTGTTCCCGCCTCAGAGCTTGTCCATCTCCGAAGGTGGAGCCCCGTACTCTGCAGATTTTACCGCTGCTACGTGGTGCATCGCTTCTCCGTCGCTGGCGACACTGTGGCAGTCCACAATGTGGGATGGCGATGTCCACCGCAGTGCGCACGATTACCCCCAACGCATCCACTCTCTGCGACCACTGCGAAGCCTCTGTGAGATGGAGACACTGATACGTGAAAATGAGAGCTTTGAGGGCTTTATCAATTCCGTGGCGCTGGTGCGGGAGTCTCTTGATGCGGCCTCAGAGAAACAGCAGCGCCAGCGTCGTCAGTTTCTCCGTGTTGAAATTAACGCTATTTTTAGTCTCACGAGGATTCGAGATCTTCTTGCCAGAGTTGAGGCGAACACCCTTGGCTCTGTTCGCTGGCATCCCACCGAAGAGAGCATCTTGGGCAGCGCCGCCAAGGTGACCGTGGTGTACGATAGGTGGCTGAGCACCATTCCCCTTACAGAGGTCGTTTTTCTCTATGCCGCCGTCACCAGGTACGTGCCGCAGGAGTACGACCCTGCAAAACACTGCCCAAAGAGCTTTCAGCATGAGGCGACAATAAAGAAGGAAGAAGCGCTGGGGAGGATGGTGGTGAACTTGAAACTTGCAGATGAGGAGGCTGAAAGAATTTTTGTCATTGATGTTAGGGTGGAATTTAGAAACCGTGTCGAGCAACTGAATCATCGGCGTGTGTATTTCCTCAGCAGGGCGGAACAAGGCCCTAGCAACTCAGGCACGTTGTTGTATGATGATGATGATGATGATGCCTATGTCGCTGTTGACCTTGATATTGTGGACAATAGGGACAACTCCTCCGTGAGTGATAGCGGCAGTGAAGAGAAAGCTGATGGACCAACGACGGACAATCGGGGCGCGGAAGAGGCAAAGCAAGCAAGCGATGACAATAATGCAGAGAGAACAGAGGAAACGATGGAGTCGTCGGAGACGTTTTTTCATTCCAGCGTTGATTTTTACTTTGAAGTCGGCATTGACGCGGCACATAAGGCGGAGGAGTCCACTCAGAGCCTGCGTGACTGGGGTAAAAGTCTCATGTACCGTGATGTGCGTTGTGTGCCAATGGGCATTGGGACCGTGAATGGGGCTCGTGGGTTTCTGGGAGATGTGCTGTTGATCGAGACGCCGGAAGGGGAGGAGGACGAGCACCCCGCTGCGGAGGACAGGAGCCTTCTTTTTACGTTGAAAAATGACTTGTGGCTGCCGGCCCCCCCATCACGGGAAACGAAAGGTGATGCGTGGGTGGACACGACCCGGATGCTTGAACAATACCATCGCAGACGTCGCGACGATTTGCTCAAGCAGTGGTTTGAGTCGCGGAAACTTCTTGTTAACGAGTGGTATGAGTCGCTTTGTCGCATGCGTGCCGAGTTCTGTGAGGCAGGGAACTGTGTAGGCGTGGAAAGGGACATTGCTTCGGGTTTATTGATGTGCATGGAGGCGGAAGAATTATTTTTTGCTTGCCACAAACCAGGTGGTGATAGTGGTGCCGTAATTTACGCCGAGGCGGGGAGAATGGAATGCTGGTACGACGCGGACACGAGCCTTACCACTGGGGAGAGGAGGACGACTGCTGTGGACGCCAATCTGCGGGCAGTTGCGTTTCAAGGACGCGGTGCATCTTTTGGCGTCATCGCACCAACCTTTCTGCCGCCCAAGCTTCCCTTGTGTGCGTTTTCGCTATTTCCGCGTCAACTTTTCGCCGCGCACTACAAGAAGCATCGCGCGCTGGTGACGAAGAACAGCGCGGAGTCCGTGAGTGAGTCCGGGGAGCTTCACGTGGATGCCGCCTTTATTCGGCTGCCTCATCGCTTTTTGCCCAATTTGTTCGCCTCAAACTTAGACCGTCTGCCGGCGTCTCTGCGGAATGTGGAGCGGGCCCTCTGTGAGTCGTTGCAGCAGGGTGCCGTGCTGCGTCAGGCTAACGCGCCTGAGGTCGTATATTACGCGGCAGAAAAGGCCTTTGTTTCTATTTTATCTATGCTGCTGCTGCTTCAGCCGCGACGCGAGAGTGTGGAAGAGAAGTCCAGTGCAGAAGCCCACTCCCACGCGACCGTCTACAAGTTGCTGAAGGAGGAGCATGGTGCCCTATACGATGTGAAGACGTCGAGGATTGCTTCTTCTGCAGTGCTTTACAGGGTGCGTCCCAACCTCAGCGCGAATGGGTATGGGCATGGACAGCGGCCGCAGCAGCAGCAGCAGCAGCAGCAACAACAACAACAACAGCAGCAGCAGCCGCCTGTACTGTTTATTGGGTCGGTCGACTCAGAGACGAGTGACAAGTTCGAGGCCCCCGGTTCCTTTAATATGCTGGATATAAAGGCCTTGTCTCGTGCACTGCAAGTTCTGGGGTTTGAATCACTTGCTGCGCCCCCTCCGGCTTCATCGTCCGACGCGTTGGCGAGGAGCGACAATGATGACATCGTCTTGCTGACCGAGTTGAGTGCTGCGGAGTGCCATCCTATGGCCTCCCGTGGGATCGGACCTTATCCGTTAACAAACAGCGTCCCGAGGCTGTATCATCCATTCCCGTGGCTCGCGCTTCTAGGTCGGCCCCTGCTTGCTCGAGACGAATATGACGCGGAATTTTTGGGCAATTGCGAAGAGGCTGGAGACAGAGGTAAACTCGTTCGGCGGCAAATTGCGGTCTCCTACACAGCCGTTTGCTTGAGTGAAAAGAAACCGTATCGTTCATTCTCCTATGGTCGAATAAGTCGGTCGCTGATCTATGGGATTGTGAATAGACGCATAGAGAAGGGTTCTGATATCAGGAACTATTTGTCCCTTCTGCTCCTTCGTCCGGCATGCACTACGGCCGAGGGTGCCTCTCCGTTTGCGGATGGAATCTTGAGTGTGTACGGAACAGCGAATGAGCCTTTGTACTTATTCTATCTCTCCCGTCGACAACTTCGGTTTCGACTAGGCACGCTTTGGCCTTCGCTAGTGGAAGGAATGGAAGATACGACGGTTCCGACGAGCGCTGAGCTAAAGACGGAGGATAACTTTATACGAAAGTTGTCCGAGGCCGGGAAACAGCTTATTGACTTGGTGGCTCAGCAGACGGCTGAGCCATCGAGTTGCAAGAGTGGGGACGGGAAACCTCCCGCACGTGTGTACCTTAGAATGAGTCTCGAACTTGACACTTTCGACGACGCAAGTAAGTGCATGCGGGTCGCTGTGTTCCCCATCAAGAATGAAAAGAAAGCCGGGGAAGAGGACGCGGCAGTTGGCATGCACGCCAATCCCCATCAGCAGATTGACTTTACTGCTAATGTGTGGTCTCGGTTCCCGCAACATGTGCTTCTTGTGAGGTACCGCCCCGAGCGTGGCGAGTATGCCTTTGCGTGGTCGGATTTCGAGAAGCCGTCCGAAGTGGACGCTGAGACGCTCCCCACGAAACACTAAGTCGCGCCAATTACACCTCTATTGAGTTTGAGGACCTACACGTGGTGGAGGTGTGACTGAGCACTTTCCTCACTTTCGCTTTGTGTGTGCATGCCTGTGGAGCAACACTTTGCGTCTAGCCTTGCTTTATTTATTTTGGCCTGTAATAAATACATAAATAAGTTGAAGTGGTATGTTATCTTGGGCATCTTTCTCGGCTATTCCCCGTGTGTCTGTGACTGTGACTGTGTCTGTGTCTGTGTGCTTCTTTTTCATTCGTCCCCCTTTGCTCCCCCGTGTTTCATTTGGTTGTTTCTCGGCTTCACATATTGAGGGAGAAGTCACAAAAGCACCAACTGAAAAGGAAGAATAGGCAATCCAAGACGCCTGTGTGTTTTAGTATATAAATATATATAGCGCATGTCAAACTTGAAATTACTGGGGACCGCCACCCCCGAAAGGGAGCGAATGCAGCCGATGGATGTGTACGTCCCCGATGAGGAGGATGACTGGACGAGCGATGCATACAATCGGCTTAACGGTGACGTGAGGCCACACAGGGCGTGTTACGACTGCCCTGGCCACCGTGTACTCACTGCCTGCTTCTCTGCTCTTTTGCTTCTCCTGAGCGTCGCTGGTTCCATCCTAGTCGCAGTTGTGGGAAGCCAATCGGAGAGGCTGGGGCCCTGTCGTAACTGCGGGACTCTGCTCCTTTCCCTGCTGGTCCCTGGAATATTTTTCTTGTTTGTGGGACTTGTGGGCGCAATCTCAGCATGGCGAGAGACACAGTTCTTTTCTGTATTATTCTCTCTACTTCTTGCAATGGCTGCCTTTGTTCTACTTTGGGCGGGCTTGCTGCTTGCAGTCCTGTACCTTCAAGTAGATGCATCGAGTAGTTTCTTGGCCATTTTCTGGGAGCACACTGTATCAAGCGTCCCAAGCGGCATATGCGACTTGCAGGAGTGGCTGCAGTGTTCAGGGTTTGCCACTTCGCAGTGTTGCGTCAGCAATGTGACGGCGGCAGAGTTGCACAACGTCTCTCCCTGTTATTTGGTCGCCAAGGACGGCGTGACGACGCTAGACCCGCATACGATGCAGCCAGTTTCCTGGCCGTCGCGTGCCTGTGCGCCCACCTGCGCTTCGTCGAACGTTTACAACGCCACATGCCAGGAACCCCTTGAAAATGTTGCCGGGAAAGTGCTTCCACCCACGTCTGGTGGACTTTTTGCTCTCGGATTCGTGCTGCTCGGTTTTGCTGCTCTTGCCGGGTACCGTGCCTCTACCAAACTTCGCCGATCGTTTTACTTACGCTACGAGTACTGACGTACGATGCGTAGAAAGAAGCACCCTTCGTAAAACCTTTGTTGGCCGCCCTCCGTACGCCTCAAGAGCAGCGATGTTGCAAAATAGGAACTTCCCTGTCTAATTTGATCGTCTCTTCCCCCTTTTTTTTTGGGGGGGGGGTTAAATCTATTCTTCTTTTTCATCCATATTTTTTCTTTCCCCGCCGCTTTTTCA